CACAGTGCAGTATGAAGAGAGAGAACACTAACCTTGCTTGAAGTGACTTCTGACGTGGAGGACAGGAAGGCGGGTGGGGAGGCGGTTATTGTTTGGAGGGAGAGTCCCCCTGGCCTACAGGAAGCCACGACCACGTGTCACAGCAGGGAAGATGGCCGCGGGTCGTGTTCATGACCCGATGGGGAGTTCGCAAACGGAAGCAAAATTTTGTGAACAGTGCTGTTCGTGAACCAAATTGTTCATGAACAGAAGCGTTCATGAACCGAGGTATTACTATACCTTGGTGTGGATGTTCACGTATCCAAGACAGGTAGAAAACTGAAGCTAATACTTGTCTGTAGCTCATTTTGTATTTTGGTTTTCAGGATAGTTTGTTGGAAAAACCATAAATGGCAAGGAAAATTGAACTAAATCTGACATATGACAAGTTGGAAGCAACACATTTATAAACTAGCACAGTATTTCTGAAATTCACTTGCAGCTACCACCTGTGCTTTGAATGAAAATACATCATTGCCTTTGGAGATGCTGAAGTTCTACTGTGAAATAATAGTTTCATTTCTGCTAAGCAGAAAAATAAAAACCTTCTGGTTAAATTCAGAATCTTATGTTCATATTCAGTCCTTTCCCCTCCCCAATCTATTTCTGTCTGCATTATTGGAAGAACAAAACAAATATAAAGACATTCTATTCATGCAAAAGAGACAGTTCATTACTGTTTCTTTCTCTCTCTTCAACATCCCTTACCCCTGGGCCTTTGAGAGAATCATGATCTGCAATAATTACCTGGGTGCTCTGAAAAGCTTCACCCCCTAATTCTGTACTGAAAGATCCAAGAATAGGTGAGGATCTTTTCCCCCTTCTTCTTCTGCTATATATGTGGTCAACTGAGTTCCTTTAATAGCTCTGGGTATTATTTATTTCTTTACTTATTTATTAATCACATTTATATGGCTGCCCATCTATCCAAAGAAACTCTGGGTGGCAAACAAGATAAAACATATCCAATCTATTAAAAACTGAGAAAAAAACTGGGTTGAGGTCCTTTCAAAAAGTTCAATTCCCCCATACCAGATATCCAAGCACACCAGAGCACCAGTGAATCTTAGCCCCAGTGCCTGTCTGGCTTTCCAAAAGGCTAGTAGAGTTGGGGCCATACACATCTCCATTGGGAGGCTGTCCCATAGGGCAGGTGCCACAGCAGAGAACACCTGCTTCCTTGGACCTATCAGTGACATTACTGTACAATCTTTGTTGGAAGCATCTTATTGCCAACTTTATTCCCTTATGCTTCTGTCTCCCCACTCTGCCTTTCCTGCATGCTGAAACAAGCAGGGCTGCATTTGTGCTTGACAGCACTGATGCTGCTATAACCAATTAAGAAATAGGGGCTCAGCTCTTTTTTGTGCCCTTAGCAGTGCTTAAAGCTGCAGAAATCATCAGGCAAAGCCTTTTATGGCATGCAGAGAAGCATTAGCACATACAAATGATTGTTGATCAAATTGGCCTTAAATGCGTTCCTGTGGGGCCAGCTGAAAAGGAAGGAGGACTCCAGGGCCAAGGAGAGAAATGAAGAAGGGAGAGGAAAGGAAGCCATGCCTTTCTCATTTCTGAGTTCTTTGGGGGGATTTTAAAGGTTCAGGGCAGATTACTAAAGTGTACCTTTGCAAGTCAATTACATTATTACTGCTGTGCATTCTGTTATATTCACATGTTTCCAAAAGGCATTGGTTTGCACTATCAAGTGAGTGGTTTTCAGCTCAGCATATGATCTGCCCATTTTTACAGTCTTCTGATAAAGCAATCAGGAAGCCTTCTCTGTCGTGTATCCTATGTGTTGGGACGTAGAATTCCGAAGCAGCATTTTGGAGTTGTAGTCCCAACTTGCATGGAGGATACGGGGTTACTTTCTCTCATTTTATATACAGTGAATTGAGTTATAGATAGCTTGATGGTATGCAACAGTGAGCCTGTGATCTGTGATATTGCAGTGTTCTTAAGTACATTCTTCATTAAGTCCTTTTAATGATATCTCTTTGTAATTAAGTGCAAAGTATTTATTCTCATTAAAAGTTAATCTAAAAACAACATAATCTAGATGCATTCTATTTTAACCAAGGTTATCTTGCTTAAATACAGCAACTAATTCATGACGTTGAACTAAGCTATTTTATCTGATTAAATAAGGAATACTGATGAGGAATATCCTTGATTGGATACATGACTTAATTGCAATGTTAAGTCATTGCAGTTGTTATTCTTTATTTGATATGAAGGAAAGCTATATTGTTTTCCAGTTCTTTGCGAAGCCAGACACTTGGTTTGATTTTTTCATATAGTTTGAATCAACAGAAAAGCAAGACTGCATGAGGAGAAAACAAGTAGTAGAAGAGGATTAATGTCTTATTTTGCAGCCTAAATCTTCAGTTTTACATATATTTACATAAGAGTATATCTGCTGAGTTCTCATGACACATTTACCCATGACTAACAGAACCATAATTTAGTCAGTTGTATAAACTTTCTAAGTTTATACTAACCACATAGTCTGGGTTCCCACTAGGCTAAAATGTGGTTGGTAATGCTGTAGTGAATCCCCATTCATCATATCAGTCCATGTACATACATGTGTAAATCAGCCTTAAGAGTGAAGCTTTCAAATGAAAGGCATAGTTTTGAGGCAGGCTTAAGTTTTTGAAACTATCCTTTTAAGAAAGGAAACTTCGAGTTTAGTGGGAAACTGATGTGGAAAAACTGGAACTGAGAGTTCACTCATCTTTGTTTTAGGTTAGTGGTTGGGAACCTGTGGCCTTGTAGATATTGTTGAAGTACAACTCCCTGCATCTTTTAAAAAATGGAACATATACATTTGTTTTATTACTAGGTCATATATGATGGATGGGGAATTGTGGGATTTGCAGTTCTAACACATCTGGATGGCATCAGATTGGAGAAGGCTAAGCTAGCTTATTATTGAATCACCAGTGGTACAGCTCCAAATTTGCAGACTAGGTTTTTTCCAGATTAGGGTTTTTGGTCTAAGTTGCTATATTTCTTTTTAATTGACAGTCCCAGGGACTGAACCTGGAACCACTTGCATACAGAGCATGTGTTCTATTGCTGCGCTGTTCACTATTCCTCAAAACCTTGTGTTCCAGGTAAGCCTGTTTTGTATTGTTGAATAAGTACCACATACTAACAAAGAGTGCTGCTAGAATGGGCCATGGTGGTGTGAATGTACATTTAAGAATCATGGCAAATCTAAAAACTATGGTCTGTAGTAGAATGGCTAATCCTGTAGGGGGAAAGGCTAGAGTCTCAAATCCCCTGTTCTAGAAGCTCTCTGAGTCTTCACACTCTGGCTTCACCTCCTGCCTTGAGTTAGCAGCTTGGTACTTCCCACATGCTTTCATATAATTTCTAGCTGGTGACTCTCCCCCTAACCATAATGGAGCTCACAGCCTGGGCTAACTTCATGGTGATTAAAAGTCTTTAAAAAGTAAAAAAGTGAAATAATTTCATTAGTGCCATTTTCTGGCCTTATACCATAGAGATATATTGCTAGGAGGTTCAGGCTTTTCTTGGGAAACAGATGAATCCCACAAGATAAACAAAATCAGAGATTAGTAAAAGGAGGAAAGGTCAAATATAAGACCTGTTTTTAAACATTATAATGCAACCATTCCCTAATGAAGGAGAGAAAAACAGAGCTACCTCAACAAAACAGTTGCTTCTGAATAAGTTAAAAAGAACAATATCTAAAATAAGATGCAGTGTCCAGGTAGTGCACAGGTCAGTTCTGGTCAGCTACAGTTTGCTCTTTTACTGCCCCAATATCTCCATAAGAATAAAGAGGATGTTTAATTTAATTTAATTTAATTTAATTTAATTTAATTTAATATTTAATTAAATATTTCAATTTAATATTCTAAACTACAGGAGATTTAAAAGGAAGAGAATGTCCTCATGCACAAGCTGATATATTCATAAAAATCTGAAGGTTGCACAGTTACTAAGCTTGAACAGAGAAATGCAGAATATTAAGATTTACAAAACATAGAAAAATTTCTAACACAACTTCTTGGCTAGATTTTTTCCTAGCACAGTAGAGATAGAAGACTCTTTAAACAGATGTTCCTTTTGTTCCAATTCACCTGGGCTTCTCAGTTTCTTAGAGATGCCAACTGCTTATCAGAGATGGTTTAGGGATGGTACACCCCACTTGAGTTCCAGCCTCAGTCTAGCAACTTCTGCTTGGTCTTAAAAAGATAAGTATTTAACTGTACCCAGCAGAAGGAGTTGAGATAATCTGACTTTATATGATCATGAACCTGTCTCTCTCCCTCATGAATTTATGTATTGAGAATGTCTGCAGTCTGCCCAAGAAGAGGTATGCATTCTACATTTCAGAATGCAGCTTGTATAGCCTAGATACAATATGGATGTTTCCCATCAACAGAAATCACCACCATCTCAGAATACATGCTCTAAATAGGCAGTAGAGTAAATCCTTTTTGGTACAAGACTGGGATTAATAAAACTGCTGACATGGAAATCAGAGAAAGGAGCATTGTCTTGAATAGTGTTCTTTCTTGGAGATAAATGTTATCCCTATTTTTTCTAAGCACGTTTACACCTCATATGCAGCAATTCCCTCTGTGGACAGAGCTTTGTATTCTTAATGTTCATAGTGTTATTAAAACTCTGATTTCCTGATCTTGATTTACTCGAGTTGTCCCAATTGCTTGGGTTCACCCAGTTTGCTGTGTTATAAAGTGATCTCATGGATTTGGTTCATTCAACCTGCTGCAAAAAATGTGGATAGCTAGTTTGGAGTTCAATGTAAATGTAAGTGTGGATAGCTAGTTTGTGTTCAATGTAAACCCAAAATGCATTTACTTATATGAATTTGTGTAGCCATTTTGTTGATGTTTTCAAGCAGCTGCTTTCCTTTGCTCAATTGGTAAAGTAGGTTCTGCTTATGGAAGAGACCCTTGTGAAGTAAGTAAGATTAATTACTTACATAGGCAGGTAAGGAAGGAAGGTAATGGATATCAATTCCCTTGAGATAGACAAACTGTCACACAAGTGAAGCGGAAGGGAGAGTAAGCAATAGTCACAACAAAGCATGAGCGTATAGTCTAGTATGAGTATGTACAGATGGTCTGTTCTCTCAGCATTCAGTAGGTAATCATTTATATAGAGAGGGAGGAAGAAAGAGAATCTCCCCCTTCTGTCCCCAAGACAAGACTGAACACTAAAAAGAATATGTCCCTATCGCACCTGAGATTTAAATATGCTTGGAGAATGAAAATACAATTGATCTCTAAGGAAAAATACTTCCCCGAGATCTCATATCCAACACAATGCTCCTTTCTCTGACTTCCACTTCAGCAGTTTTATCAATCCCAATCTTCTCACTAAATGGATCTAGTCTACTTCCTATTTGGAGCACACAGTCCTGTTGAGACTGGGGTAGTTTCTGTTGATGGAAAATGTACTATGGTAATTGACCAACACCCATAATTCTGATGCGCTAGATTTATCATGGTTTTCTAATGCACATTCAAGGAAGAGAGAGATGTGTGAAAATAATTACTTCATCTTTTCTTTTCTTATGGATAATTCCATATGATTATCAATTTAAATATCTGTTTATTTTATGAAAAATAAGTCTCTGCTGAATCATGCTCAGTTCCTGGTGGCTTCATGGTCCATGTACTGTAGTTTTCTTGGCAGTGAAATAGAATTGCTTTATTATTGCCTTCTTCCAGAATAGCCATCTAGAGAGCACCAGATTGGGAAAAGCTTGTCTGTGTTAAAGTAGATCAGTGACATTTAATGAAATGTTGACATGGTGGTCTGGCGGGAATGCTGATAATTATACCAAAGTGGCTGCCATTACAGCCAATGTTGGGCTTCTAAATTAAAAAAAAATCATCTTGTGTAATTAACATTTACTGTGTTTTGAAAAAGGCCTGTACACATTATGTTAATATTGCGTATGTATGTGTATGCATAGCCCACATTATTAATAATACTACTGCAAATCTATCAAGCTATTTAACTCTGTGACTGAGGAGCCTGCCTTCCTGCTGGGTTCTCAGATCAGCTGGGTGACCCAAGAAGCCAGTAATTCACTTGCTTTACTTCATCTACCACAGATCTCCATCAGAATGCTATTTTCTAAGGTTGTAACTGAGCAAGAATTCAAGATAGTAGCTTTCCTTTCTCAACATTACTGGCTCTTGGTGCGTAGCTAATCAAATTTGCAAAAGAGCACAGAAAACATTTAAAAAGTCTTCAGGGATGAGAAAAGCAAATTCAATCATTTGATCTTCTCTACTTTTGATTCCATCACGATCAGATCTTCCCAGTGGCATGCCAAATTTAAACAATAGCTGCATTTTAAGTAGAGATGGTAATCTTCCTATTGCATTTATCATTTTGAAAGAAAATGATAATATTGACTAAATAAAGATAATTCATTTTTTCAGCCATTGAGTTTCAATTGAATGTTTAATTTCCCGAGGAGTCTTATAACCTAAGCCCCCTAATAATAGCAGAGAAGCAGCCCTGCAATCATATGAACTTATTATGGAGATTACTCAGTTCATGTTTATTCATAAACAATCATCACTACAATGTTCATTGTAGATCTGGCTCACAGTTGCTAGGCTACAAGGAACAGTTAGGATTTAGATTGGATGGCATCCATAGAATTTTTAGAATGTTTTCTGGGTTTGGTGCTGGGTTCACAACTTCACATCAAGCTATAATGTGGTTTTGGCTAAATGTATAAAAACCCAGGTATTGTGGCGTACAAACCATGTTTTATGGTATATGTGATGTGTGAATCAAGCTAGAAACCCAGACATATTGTGCCCAGCTTCTTCTGGCATTCAGAATAGCAGGGGATTAAGGCAGTCATTGCTTTGTTTTATAGATGTCCTGGGAATGTGCAACTTGCTAAGTTTAATTTCAGCCTCAGAAATACAGCCCAGACAAGAAGGTGGTGTGGAGGAGCCAATGAGGCTGCCAGCAGCTCTCCTTGCATTTGCAAATATATGTACTGCCCGAGTCCCTGGTGAGTTAGAAGAGAGGGCTCTGCCGCTGTGTAATGAGTGCAATACTTCTATGGCCATTGCCGGATTCAGAATTTATACCAAAGTCTGTTAGTTCTGTGTAACTGAGGTTAGTGGCTTTGGTTTTATCTTCCTAGCACTACTTTGTGCCTCATTTGATTTAACAATAATATTTTGGCACGCAGAGAAGTTTTGTTTTTCATTTTTTACATTCCTGTTGTTGAGGGCAATTATTTTCATTCCCTACACAGCTCATCTTATTCTCTAGTTCTCTTCTTAAGCTTTCCACTATACCTCTTAGCCTGAAGTATTTTTTCAGTTCATTTGCAGCTGGTAAAGTACATTACTCTCTAGATTATTTGAGAGAAAAGGGTTGAACTGGGATCCTAAAAAGAGAACAAGATTATCTCTCAGCGTATTGAAATGTACTCTTCAAACTGCTCATTGAGGGATGTACTGGAAATTATATTGAGGAAAACAGTGGTGCTTAAAAGTTTGTGAACCCTCTTGAAGTTTCAATATTTCTGCATAAATATGACCCAAAACATGATCTGTTCTCCACACAAGTCCTAAAATACACAAATATGTAGCTTTAGATCATTTTCCTCAATAAATCAATGAACAAGTATAATGTTTTTGAACATTTGTTTAATTGGGTCCTCTTTATCTAGTTTTAGGACTTGTGTGGAGAACAGATCACATTTTAGGTCATATTTTGAAACTTCAAAAGGGTTCATAAACTTTTAAGCACCACTGTATAGGGAGGAAAAGAGTTTGTCTTAAAAACGGGATTTATTATCAAGGGTAAGCAGCAATTCTTTTAAGAATCTTCTGCAAGTAAAGCATTTGGGAACATTCCTGAGGACAAGTCTTTTTTGCTGTGCCATTTATTTACCTTTATCTGACAAAGTGGGTTATAAAACCTGGAAGATCCTTAAGAAGGAGGTTATGAACCTTCAAATCTGTGGTTCAGTTAAGTAAGTCTTAGTACCAGCAAGTCTTAGTTTCTTGCTTGTTCAACAGAGATGACTACAGGCATCACAAGTTAATTTGTGGATGTATTTACTACTCTG